AACAGAAACATTCATCTATAAAATAATAATTTAACAGAAACATTCATCTATAAAATAATAATTTAACAGAAACATTCATCTATAAAATAATAATTTAACAGAAACATCCATCTATAAAATAATTGAACAGAAACATTCATGTATAAAATAATAATTGAACATTATTTATCTGAGGAGCAGCTTTGAGTTTAACTCCATCACTGAACTCTCATCTTGAACAAGCATGAAGGCGACAGTGGAAAGAAAAACTCCCTCATGAGGAAGAAACCTTTAGCAGAACCAGGATCAGGACAAGAGGACCATCTGCTTCGACCGGCTGGGTTTGGTAAGAACAGATACACAATGGCAGGTCATTTCTGAACCATTTTGGTCTTGGTTGTCCTCAGGCTGTTTCTGAGTAGCAAGTTGGTCATCTGGCCCGAGACATTTGATTGTTGGACACCATGATTGATCGTTTTGGGCAGATGGTCCTTTTGCACGAGTTAAAAGCTTCTGAGATTCCAACAGGAGTTCGTCTTGAAACACAGTGAAGGCTACCTCTGGGACAGATCAGGTTGGCAGGCCGTAGACTGATGAAGTCCTCTGGATGGAAGACGAAACGTTTCTCACTCAAAGAAACTGGTCCAGATGAAATGATTCAACCGTTTTTGTTCCAGTTCAACACTTTGCCTGCATCGATCCTGATCATCAAGCCCGTCTGCTCAACATGAAGCAGTTTCAGTAGAAACTTTTCATCTTGCCATGACAGAAATCCATTTTGACTAGTTTCTCATTTAATGTTTAAAAAGAAGCATTTACTCGTATATTTTGGTGTCTATTTCAGTAATTCATCAGTTCACTCACCTTTATATTCCCAAAGAATTAATTCAAACTTCATCCCATGCTCTGCATAAAATGTAAGAAATCCCCTTAATATTTAAAGTTTTTTGTCTTCAGCATCTTTAACAAGTGGAAATCTGAGTGATGAGCAACTGTTTTATGATTTCAGCTGATTTTCATTTAATTATTGTAAATTTACTTTCAGCTAGTTTTGCTGCTTTTAGTAATGGTTTATGGATTTGTGTTCCTGTCCCGAGTTATTAAATGCTTAAATGTTAATAAAAACCATCATAAAATATTTATCTTGCACAGGTCTTTGTTCTGCTGTTACTTTACAACAAACTTTTATTTCATTACAAACCTGGACTTGTAGTTAAAACTGAAGCTGGGCAGATTAAAACAACAAACCATCTTTCATTGTTCAAATTTATTAGATATTCTGTTAAGTTCCATTGTCTAGACCTTCATAGCATGAAAGCTGTAAAAAATGAAAGAAAGTACTAATTATTACATTCACTAAAAATTCCCCTGAATTTTGTTCAGAAAGAGGAAATTAAATACATCGTGAATCTTTTTCCACAAACAAACAATAAAACAAAGAAACTTTGCAAGTGCTTCGTCATGATTACAGTAAGAACAGGACTTTGGACCTGACTGGACCGGGTTCTGTCCGTCATCAGACTGTCTTCTTGTCTGTCTGAGGTCCAGCTGAAGACAGTCTGATGACGAGGGGGGGGGGGGGGGGGCATCTAAACTGAATCTACTTGAAAGCTGCTTAAAAACAGCCGGACGAGGATCAACACAGGAAAGAAACTAAAACCTGGACAGGCCGATGTGTTTCAGTAAGTCCACACGCTGTGACGAGCGGTCACGTGTTGGCTCCGCGTCATGCTTGCATGTGTCCCGTCACGTCTGTGCAGCTGCACGGATGAGCTTCAGCCTGACATCATACCTGCAGCAGGTTCAATACGCACTTCTTCCACTTTTAAATGGGTTTGTTATAAAAAGTGCAGTTAGAGTAAAGTTCTCCTTTAGATGTCCTGATGCTGCTCAAGAATCCAGGTAGAAACATCCAACCAGGTGGAGTCAGGTCCTCTGGACGAGTTCTTCTTGTTGAAGCAACTCATCTTATATCCAAACGACTTCTTCAGTCTGAGGAGCTGCAACAAACTAGAGTTGTAAGAAGTGGACACGTGGACACGGAGACTTGAGTAAAGGAGGCCATCTTTGTGAAGAGAACCTGTCCATCAATAAACAGGGGCGGAGCCTCCGTGTCCAACTGTCCCCCTCTGACAATGCTGTTATTCTTACTATCACTCAGCCCTCTGTGAATAGCAAGTGGCAATTGGGGCACTAACGATCAACTGTTAGACTGATGGTCCTCCTTTTACATGTGAACAGCTGGTTCTGGATGTCAACAACAAACTGGTTGATCCACCATGAGGTGTTCTATTTATAAGACTGAGTTTGTTGCAGCTCCTGAGACTGAAGAAGTCCTTTGGATAAAAGATGAAACGTTTCAACTAGTTGTTTTTTTTAAATCCGTCCAGAGGACCTGACTGAACTTTGTTAGATCTCCTTTAGATGTTCTAGGATGCACACAGATCCTCCCGTCTGAGATATTTAGACTTGGAACGGCACGTGTTCGATCGTGCACGAGGCATCCTCTGCTCCGAGCTTCAAGGAAAGTCTCCTGACGGTAAAACCTGACACCTCCCAACATGCTCTGGGACTTTGTCAACTGATGAAGCAAAGCATGACCCAAACTCATGACGACTTCTAATTCAATTCATTATTTTAAAAATAAAAATACAGAGAATCCTTGCCGGTTCCTAACAAACGCCTGAACTCATTACTCTGTTGAGAAAATTTAAAGTATTATTAAAAAAAGAGCTTGATCCATGCATGCAGCACTGCTCTCACTCCCTTTCCACCGTTTCTTTTTAGTTTCGTCTCGGAGGCCACGTGAAGCTCCCGGTGAGAGCCCTCGACATGAAGAAAGGCCATGCAGCGACGGCGCGAGGCAACGTTCTCGACGCCGGTCAAACTGAGTGTCAGACAGACGGACGTCCACAAGGACAAAAGTACAGACGTGGATTAAATTAGGTGTTACGGGTCAGGGCAGACAAACGATCCGATATGAACTCGGATGATCCGTTCTATGGTTTGAAATGTGTGAAGCTAAAAACATTCAAATTTAAAAGTCCTGAATAAAAAACAAAGCCCATCAGAAGAGTCAACTAACATTTACAGGCAAGTTTTCTGTGCAAAGTTGTTTTTTTTCTTTTCAAACACTTATTTGTTTACTGAACAGGAGGCTGTGATTAAAGTAGGACACCCCCCCCCCCCCCCACTATGAACCACAGGAGACAGGACATGAAGAGGCGACATCAGGGGCACTTCCTCAGCAGGGTGGGGTGTCTCTGATGACATCATCATGACGGGGTGTGGTTGGTTTGCCTCACTGCTCATAAGCAGCACTGGTGCCTCGAATCGGACCTGTTTTACGCAGCTGGGGGGGGGGGGGGGGGGGGGGTGTCAGAGAAGAGCAGAGGGTTAGAGACCACGTCCAACAAAGAAAGTCTGATTTTCATCTGAACATCACAAAGGACCAGTTAGAACCCCGAGGTGGACTCTGCAGAGCGGGTCATGAATCCACACGCTGCGTTCAATGGTCCACTCGTTTTCTCGGGCTGTTCACATCTTCATGTTTTCGTTCACCATGCAGAGGCTGTAAATGGGTCACATGATTCAGCAAACGTAGCGTTTAAAAGTTGTACACTATCAGTGGAAATAGACCATAATGCATTGCAGCGTGAGCGGGCACAGCAGGCTAATGCTAACGCCGCTCAGTGGTTGGGAAGTTCTCTGTGTGACTAAGAACCACGGTGTGTGTATAATTTCTGCTTGTGTCACGGAGTCGCCTTCAGGCGTTTTTCAGAGCTTCTCTGTTTTTGTGACATCTGACTGAAGACTTGGTGCATCTAAAAAAGTTAAATATGGTCCTCTGGACATTCAAAAAAACAAAACAAAGCAAAACAAAAAAATGTAGAAACGTTTCGTCTCTCATCCAAAGGACTTCCTCAGTCTGAGGTGCTGTATTCAGCTCAGTCTCTTAAATAGCACCTTCTCAGAGTGGATCAACCAGTTTTGCTGCTGACAACCAGAACCAGCTGATCACATGCTCAAGAAGGACCATCAGCCTAACAATGGATCATTAGCACCTGATGGCTGATTACAATGGAAGGTGCTGGAAGGTGAAGAATCTCTTCATGACTCCACGTCCGTCATGACTCCACGTTTGTCATGACTCCACGTTCATCATGACTCCACGGTCGTGATGACTCCAAGTCCATCATGACTCAACGTCCATCATGACTCCACGTTCATCATGACTCCACGGTCGTGATGACTCCAAGTCCATCATGACTCCACGTTCATCATGACTCCACGTTCATCATGACTCCACGTCCATCATGACTCCATGTCCATCATGACTCCATGTCCATCATGACTCCACGTCCATCATGACTCCACGTTCATGATGACTTCAAGTCCATCATGACTCCACGGTCATGATGACTTCAAGTCCATCATGACTCCACGGTCATCATGACTCCACGTCCATCATGACTCCACGTCCATCATGACTCCATGTCCATCACGACTGCACGTCCATCACGACTGCACGTCCATCACGACTGCACGTCCATCACGACTGCACGTCCATCATGACTCCACGTCCATCATGACTCCACGGTCATCATGACTCCACGTCCGTCATGACTCCACGTCCGTCATGACTCCACGTCCATCATGACTCCACGTCCGTCATGACTCCACGTTCGTCATGACTCCACGTCCATCATGACTCCACGTTCATCATGACTCCACGGTCATGATGACTTCAAGTCCATCATGACTCCACGGTCATGATGACTTCAAGTCCATCATGACTCCACGGTCATCATGACTCCACGGTCGTGATGACTCCACGTCCATCATGACTCCACATCCATCATGACTCCACGGCCGTGATGACTCCAAGTCCATCATGACTCCAAGTCCATCATGACTCCACGGTCATGATTCCACGTCCGTCATGACCACACGGTCATCATGATTCCACGGTCATGATGACTCCACGGTCATCATGAATCCACGGTCGTCATGACTCCACGTTCATCATGACTCCATGGTCATCATGATTCCACGGTCATCATGACTCCGTCCATCATGACTCCATGTCCATCATGACTCCACGTCCATCATGACTCCACGTCCATCATGACTCCACGGCCGTGATGACTCCAAGTCCACCATGACTCCACGGTCATCATGATTCCACGTCCACCATGACTCCACGGTCATCATGATTCCACGTCCGTCATGACCACACGGTCATCATGACTCCACGGTCATGATGACTCCACGGTCATCATGAATCCA